AGGCTTTTTATGCAATAATTTATTATAATGCATAAATCATTTTTATATATTATATTATTATATATAATAAAGAGATAATCCTGCACCATCTGCTTGGGCAAAAGAGCCACTTTGAGAGGAGCGGGGCATAGCCGGCTTTGGGCCTGCGTGGTGCTCAAGCATCGTTTTCTTGCCTTTCCCGGCGTTGGGCGCTGTCCTTTTCGCCCTCCTCATCGCCCCTCAGACAGGATCCCTTTATTACTAGCTTTTTATCCCGCCTTTTTAAAAATGCATAAGTCAAGGCGGCAACTGTGCCTGATATTTTGGCTTTTAAACCTCCTCTCCCGCAAAGGGGAGTAGAACCATTCAGTAGGTGAAGTTTTCTCAAGCCTTTGGAGACAGCCTTGCAGGATGGTCCCGAATGACGTCACTGAAGCCGCTGGGGTTTCAGCCTCCCTCGGCTGCGGTAGAGTGGATTGGACCCTGCCCTGATCTGGGATTTGTATGGAAATTCCCTGTAAGGGCTTACGGTTAGAGTTTATGAGAAAAAGCAAAGCCTGCTCTTCACCTGAAACCAGAGACTTTTGAGAGACATCTTTTAATGCATTCCTTTTAGCCCTATGCTAATGTTACATTGTTGGATCTTACCTGTTTTGCAAAGTTCGCTTAAACGGCCCAGAGAGAAAGGGGGTGTACTTCTGTTGCAGGATGGCTACCTGATGACAGTTCTCACTATTCAGGAATTATTTACTTTGTTTTTGAAATTGGCATCTAGGTCCAGTGCTGACGTGCTATATGCAAGTTGTGCAAGTTCTGCTACTGAATCAAATGATTAGCAGTTGTTCCTGAAAACTCTCTGACTTTTTTCACTAAATTCTGAAGAATATTTGCAAGAATGTTGACAGTTGTCAGCTTAAGAATGTCCAGAGAGATCACATTGCAGGCAATTTGTTAATGGAGAGTAAACACTCTGCAAATCATTGATGACTTGATCTCAAAGATATGTACAGCTGCTGGTTCTCTGACTGGCTTTCTGTAATATACCTACAGGAGCATCCTTTTACCCTCTCATGTGGGCGTGCCTGACCCTCTAAGCTGCCTATCAGTTGTAGTGCCATTATGAAAGGTTAAAAATAGAACATGATCTGCATTATTTGTTTCAGAAGCTCATCTTAGGCCGTTCATTCTTGCAATAACTCAGACTTAAATCTTAATTTGGTCTCTAATTGGTTTCCTGAATGCTATCTTTTTAGGTCACTGAAGATTTCTTGGCAACATACCATGCTAACTATGGCTTTCCCACTGAAAGTTCAGATACCTCGGCATCTGTTGCAAAGACTGAATCTAAACCTGCACCAGATTCAAAGGCCAACAAAGCTCAGCAGCCGGTAGAACCCAAAACGTCGCAGCCGACAGATCCTAAACAAAAAGGAGAAAAAAGAAAAGCTGAAGCAGGCAAGGGGCTCCGTTGTGCATGGCTTAGAAGTAGTCTGCTGTTCAAGAAGAAATGTGTCTTCCTGCGGAGTTGAGCTTGTGTAGGCGGTCATGCAGAACGTCCTTATAGCCACTCAGACGCTGCTGCTTTTTCTGTTCGGAAAGCCTAATGTTAAAGGATCAAATTACAGCCAACTTGTAGGAATTTGTGAATGTTGTTAAAGCTTGATAGGTGTGAAGATAGGAAGGTGCCATGTATACAAGGTCAGGCTGTTTAGCCCAGGAGTGTCTGCTGTGTTTGGCTTTCCACAATCTCGTGTGAACTTTAGTCTGAAGAACTGTTCTCTTTTCTTTAGAGGTGCAATCCTAACTTATAATCATCTCCCCTCTAGGATGGTTTCATGTTGAAGAACAGAAAAATACAAATGTATATGTGACAGGTGAGGAGCAGTCTTGAGTATTTGCTGATTGTTAATGCTGTGTTATGAAATGGCTGTGAAAGTCAAGCTCTCCTGTGGAATGGATTCAAGCCCCTGAATATAATTTTAAATGTTTCACGTCACATAAAACCTTTGCATCTGGAATTAAAATAAGATATTTTGTTGATGGCTTTGAATAAAGTTTAACTGGGTAGGAAGAATAATAAGTAACACATTTATTTAAAAATTCAGTTTTATATGTATATATATTTGAATTATTTGTAAAGTACTTCAAAATGCTAAAGTTGCTACATTATTGCATACGAGTTGTAGTCAGTTTGTCCACCTTTGTTTCCCACTCTTTAACTTTTGGTGAACTGAAATTTAGGGTCACCTTGTCTCATTTTAATGAGGGTGGGTGTATTGCTGTGATTTAAATGTGAGGCTAGCACCTGCAAACAATTCCCTATCATGTTTATTACTTCTCAGGAGATTACCTTGTGGCAACTCAGCATTGGCTACATGGCTTCATATTGTCTATGCAGTTGAGCTTGGGCTGCCTTCTTGCTGTATCTGGAAGTACCCATTATGGCATATGGGACCTTTGGCATGTCTGATACGGACTCCCATTTCCTAGTTATGTAATGCTTGTAAAACGCACAATATTTCTGTGGCCTCTGCCTTACAATGTTGTCCTGAGTGGCCTGAGATTTCCTGGCAGAGACGAGGAGATGTTTCTGCAGGATTTTTCTGTCTTTGGTGCACAAGACACACCAAAATAAGAGTTCTGACTGCTGCCCTGCCGGTTCCTGATTGTGGACCGTGGTTTTGAGGCTGTTTCCGTGATCTCAGTCTGCTCTATATTAAAGGTGCCAGAACTGAGGCCTACTGGCTATGCTGTACCTCTTCATCCTTCCTGAATCACACAAGGAACAGATGTCTGCTGTCATTGATAAAATACCTTGCAGTACCCACCTCTTGTCAAAGGATCAAATATGTGCATGGGTCCCAAAGCTCAGGTTTTGAGCTGGGAGTGCAGAATTTGAAGAACTCTGTTAAGGATTTTATAGTCAACTTGGGAGCTAGAAAATTGAAGTTAACTAAGCTTGTCCCTCAGTGGTATTGTGTTTCTTCCCATAATTTGGGATCTAGCACTGCCAGAATGCAAAAGCTGTCAGTCTGTGCTGAATGGGGCACGTATACAAAGACACCAGAGAAAATGTAGACTGTGGCAAAGGAACTAGTGCTGTGATGTTAGAAGTTCAGTTCAATTTGGTTTTGAAAGCTGCTGTTCTTGCATTTGTGTCTATTCAATTTTACCTTTCCAGGTTTACCACCAGACATTACAAAAGATGAGTTTGTAGAAGTTATGTCAAAGTGTGGTATCATTATGCGTGATCCTCAAACAGAGGAGCCAAAAATCAAACTTTACAAAGACAAAGAAGGAAATCTTAAAGGCGATGGGCTCTGTTGTTATTTAAAGGTTAGTTGTATACTTCTGTTATACCTTTATGGTGATCCTGCAATTGTGGTTACCCAAAAAATAGATCTCCCCTTTGATTCTCTTTTTATTTAAAGTTACTTTATTTAAACTTCTGTGCACTCCTACAGACATCAACAAGATTACGATAAGTGTGTTTTGATGTGTGTTGCAGATGTTGCTTCTTTGTTAGTTAGAGTTAGTTTAGGTGGAAAGTAGAGGTCTTAAACCAGGATTTTGTCTCTGTTTTTTCCCAGAGAGAATCTGTTGAACTTGCACTGAAATTATTGGATGAAAATGAAATCCGAGGCTACAAACTGCACGTGGAAGTTGCACAGTTCCAGCTTAAGGGGGAGTATGATGCTAGCAAGAAGAAAAAGAAGTGCAAAGATTACAAGAAGAAGCTCTCCCAGCAACAAAAGTGTGTAGCTATTTCTTAAGATATAGTTTGGTTTTTCAATTATTGTGTGAAACTTTTACCTAGAAATCTTACTTCCTTATAAGAAAGGGAAGAGCGTTGTAAAACCAAGTACATTTTTGCGTTTGCTATTCTGTACGCTACTTTTATAAGAACATTTTGCTTAACACTCAATATATTGCCTGTGGAAAATATGACTAGGCTTGTGTTTTCATTAAATCTGGGGCCGTAAAGCAACGTATTTATAGGAAATGCATGAAACCTTGATCTTTAAAGCAGTTCAAATCAGACAGGAGGGCAGTGCCTAATAAAATGTGGATTTAGATATCAAGATACCTTTCATATAGGTGGCTTATAGAAAACTTCTCAGTTTCATGCTGCTAGGAACCTACCTTTCATTACTGGAGACGAAATAACTGCCAGTTCTGATTTAAGAAACATCAAATTAATTTTTTTCCCAACAAATACTTTTAGAAACTGAAGAGATCAACCCCAACCTCTTAATATTGCTTCATTTCATTAGACTGCTGGATTGGAGGCCAGAGAGGAAAGAGGGGAGTGCTAGATTGCGGCATGAGCGTGTCGTCATTATCAGAAACATGTTTCACCCCAAAGATTTTGAGGTAGGTAAAAATCCATACCTGCCATCTAGCAGAGGATTATAAACTCTCATCCCTCCATAAAATCTGGAAAAGTGTCACCTCCCTTCCAGAGATGACGAATGAAGTTGGGCTTGTCACAAGCCAGGGAGTATTTGTAGCATAATAGGACCAGCTAAAGTTAGAAAGGATCATTCCATTTTTAGGCTCTTCCTGGCTGAAGCTCTTGGGCATCTATCATGTCCAGCAACTTAATTTGCTCCTCCTGTATTAGAAGGCATAATGTTACCATCCCCAATGTGACATGCTCCAAATGCATTTATCCATTAATCCCTTTTTTATTTACCAAGGATTGGGAGTTATGGGGCCTGTAGTCTAACATACCTGAAGGTTGCTAGGTTTTCTAGTCCTGGTACAGGCCCACTCAGTTTCTGTTAACGTTGACTAAGAGATTCCTACCTTTAAAAGATGACATTTTCCATTCAGTCTGTGCTTTTGAGCATTGATGAAAATGGAACCAAACAAGCTTTCGAATAGTGCACAGTAAATAATTCAGGCAAGATTGTTTGATATCTCACTTTAGTTCTCAGGGTGCTATGATTGTCATGTGAAATTCTTGCTTTCTGAAAGCGTTGGACATGTTTTTAAAATACGCTTTAAAATTTCTTTCTAGGAGGACCCCTTGGTGCTAAATGAAATCCGAGAAGATCTACGGACAGAATGTGAAAAATTTGGTCAAGTAAAGAAAGTCATTATATTTGATGTATGTATCAGAAAGACTCTGATTTTAGTCGGTCCTCATGTTTTGCGTTGTACTTTTGAAGCATTCTTCCACAAAAGCAGTAAAGAGCAATTCCACACTACAACTGGAATTATCAGTTCGTTAATGAAGTTTCAAAAGAACCACATCATTGTTAATTTTTCAAAAGTTCATTATTCAGTGTATCACTGGAATATGGCTGAGCCCCTATAAAAAAGTTATGTCTGTATTGTGAGCCTATACATAACAACATTTTAAAACTTAAAATTAGAAGTTTTAAAACACTTCCTATTCCAGTGCTGTATTAGATAGTTGAACGGTTCAATCAGATGATAATATGGAAGGATTACTAGGCTTCTAGAGAGCTCAGGTATTCTTGTCATTACGGAGAGAGGTGTTAGGAGAATAGCCCGGGAAAGGTGAGATGTTAGGCAACTTACAATGATTTCAGTGTCTGTTTCTTTCTAAAAGTGGCAAGTTAGAACAGAAGTAATTTTATCATGTTTTGTGAGTCCCAGTACTTGTGATTCTGAAGTAGGGCATTCTCTTAAATTTGTGCGATGCCTAGATTTGATTTGATTTGATTTGATTTGATAACTTTTTTCCCCATTTGTTTCTGTAGAGGCACCCTGATGGAGTAGCGTCGGTATCTTTTAAAGAATCCGAAGAGGCTGATGTTTGCAAACAGGCACTCAGTGGACGATGGTTTGGTGGACGGCAGCTCTGTGTGGAAACATGGGATGGTGTAACTGATTACCAGGTATATTTGGCTTAATGAAGGGTTTTTTTTTAAAAAAAAAATGAGTATGAGTAATGAAGGGAGCCAGTTAAGGCCCCAGGCTAGAAACTGGGAGACCGAGTTCTAGTCCTGCCTTAGGGATGAAGCTAGCTGGGCGAATTTGGGCCAGTCCTACCCTCTCAGCCCTAGGAAGAAGGAGGCAGTGGCAAACCACGTCTGAAATCTTGCCAAGAAGACTGCAGAGATTTGTCCAGGCAGTCGCTGGGAGTCAAGACTGACTCGAAAGCACGATAATTTAATGATTTAAGAAGGGCCTCTGCATGTTTTGAAATCCCTTTTAAAAGTATCGTTCTGACCATAGAACAAAACAGAGTTTTATGACCTTCCATGCTATAGCTTATGCTGTGGAAGTCAGAGAGAGATCCTTGTAATGCAGTGTTTCCCTGAAATCACATTTTGACTCAACATCTAAGGTACTGATTATGAAGCAGGAGATACCTTTCCCCCATTCTACAATATTGACAATTACCGATGTGTACCAACCCAGGTTGAAGAAACCTCACGGGAAAGAGAAGAGAGACTGAAGGGGTGGCAAGAATTTTTAGGTGATCCTGACCAACAGCTGCCGAAAGGGCCACCGGGTGCAGATTCTTCAAAAACTGGTCAGCAGCTGGCTAAAGGAGCTCTGCCATCTCAAGACAACGGGACCTCTGAAGCCGATGCGAAGGCCGAAGCAGCTGAAAGAGGAAGTGACAGCAAAGGAGCCAGTGAAGATGTCACGGCGTCCACAGACAGCAGCGTTGCAGACAGCGACGAAGAAGCAGAGGCGTAACGCCGCTTGTTGCTTGTAGAAAGCGCGATCGCGGGGTACCCTTGAGGCCTCTGTTATCCTTTATTCTGACGCAGCTGCAAGCTGCACTCGAATGAATGAATGAAGATGAATATATATATATATATGCATATATATGCATATATATGCATATGTGCACGTTTCTTTGTTAGGGTGTCATCAACATGCTTTTGAGGTATTCCATTAAAAGCAGCATTTAGTTCATTGCGTGCGTGCGTGTTCATATATTCACGTATGGCCGCGACTGAAGCTGCGTATGTCATAAGTTGCCAAGAATCCTGCTGAACTGACCAGCTGTCTTAAGTTATACCTTTGCTTGTCAGTGTTCAAAGTCCATCCACGTGAAGTAGGTACAAACTTCCAGTTCCCCTTAACTACACAATAACCTTTAGAAACACAGGTATGAATGCTTTTCAGTGTTTGCTCTAATTTCAGCCCCCCCTTCCAACCTACTAATACTCTCCCTGTATGATATGAATTCTTGCCTGCCTTGGGTGCACCAGTATGTGCTTGCAACAGCTGGTTTTCCTGATATTAGTGATTTTAAAGTAACAGATCATTGAAGATGTATTAGCGCTCTCCATGGCCGAGAGAGAGATTAGAGAGATCAGGCTCTGAAAATGCTCTTCTGGTGTGTAAAGTTCCTTGTGATTCATGTCCTTCGTTCATTTAGAAGTTTGATGCTGAGGAAAGCTAGGTAATAAATGGGAAAAAGAATGTAAATAAGATTAATTCTAATCTTCACTTTTTAAAATTCTGATTTGGTTAACTCATTGAAAACATGCAGAGCGCATCTGTGTTGGAAGTGTGATTCCCGCCTTGCCCCGGTGTTAACTGTTCAAATATAGTTGGATTTCAAGCATTTGTCAAGACTGAGTATATGAAGCCTGTATTTTTTTATACTGGATTGATTATAGGAGATTCTACGAATAAAATTGTTTTGAGATTCATTCCCAAAATTGTTTCTCAGATTTTTAAACAACTTTTTGTAGATATTAACCACTCAGAAATAGCCCTTTTTAAAATTGCTCCCAAGACTTTCCAAATGCTCTGCCCACGTTTATTTTCTGTGGCCTTATAACTACATATTTAAATAAGGAAGTGATGATTTCATCCATCCCAGATATACTTTAATGGGGAACCTGTGCTTTTGTGACAAATCATAGCATAGATTTTCCCCATTTGCATGTGAGTGTAGGAGATTAGATGCTTCATACTGAGTTTGCTGTTTTATCTGAATGATTCTGTAGTTTGTAGAAATCAGGATCTCAGCCCGTTGCTTGAGACAGACAATTATGCAAATTATTACTTGCTGTTGACTCCAAATGTAGCAGACTTAGAAGTGGACATTTCAAACTTTATCTCCTTTTGTTGGAAAAGGAGAAGAAAAAATTAGGAGCCTAAACTCACTTTTGATCAATTTCACACGGACATAGTTGAATGTTACGTCTCATTGGATCCTTTATTTATAGGCAGTTTAGGAATCTGCACTGATGAAAAACAGGCTAACTTGCTAAATAATCTTTTGTAGAATAAAGCTAAGTGCTTAATGTAACCGTTTTGTACCTTGAATTTGTGATTAATCCATCTTTTGAAAATATTTGTGTTGCTTTCGAACTTATAGGTTCTGACCACTCATATCTGACACACTTCCCTTAAAAAAGCTGAGAATTTAAGTAAACCGAAGATGAGTGATAGAAGCAAATTGCGGTTCTAAAAGGTTTTCATCTGCCCAAGTGAAAGATGTGGCAAGGTTTTAATGCACAAGCCTGTCCTGGATTTTCTCTTGCTGTTGTGTGTCCTTGTATGTTGGGATGTGTGATGAGATGACAGCGAAGGAGGTCATTTAAACTGTTAATGCAAGTTTAGTGAGACAACATTTAGGAACTAGTGTGATAGTTCCAAATAAAATATTTCTGGAATTTAAATTATTGTTCCATTACCAGACTTCTGTGGCCTAAATTGCAGAGGAAAATAATCTCAGATCCAATTAGTATTTACAGTCCTTGAGGACGCAGGAATCAAAACTTAAAATACATGGTTCCCATTTCCAGCTTAATATGTCATTTCTGGGAAAATCTGGCTATTGTTTTTGTTATTCTGGAGAATATACCTGGCTGTCTTCCTTCCAGCTCCTGATCTATGTCTCCTATTTATTAGCAGCCCCTGTGACCTGAATACTCTGCCAGTCCCTGGTATTCCACTGTGATTCCTACTTGCGAGTCTGTAATCATCTTCAAGTGGCTAATTTTGAATCTTGAGCCTACCACAATTTCTCACAATAAGTGTGTGTTGTTTTTTGCCTAGTAAAACATTAATTAGGCTTAATGTTTCAGTGGCAGAATAACACTTGGAATTATTGTAAAGTTTAATATCTACCCTAGTTTTTATACAAACACATTTTATTTCCACAAAGTATTTGTGGGTTTAATCTCATAGAAGAAACAGCAATTGTTACGTAGAACTGGATATTCTGTGAGCATCAGTACGGTAGTTACCTTATATTTTGTGTGTTCTCACACAATTGCATTGCAAATACGGCTACTTGAGAAGATTGGATAAATTTAGAGCACCCAAATCTTCTATTTCTTCTGCATTATTCAGTCCATGCAGTTGCAAATTAGTTTCCTTACAGCACAATCCTATGCTATTTATTCAGTGAGAAGTGCCTTTGAGTTAATTTGGATTTCTTACAGTTAAGACTGGTAACAAATAGGGTTTCTTATTTAAATTAGTACTTCTGTTAAATAGGGCCAAGTCTAAATTAAATCCAGTTTGAACTGATTTGTTCTATAACTTGCATATAAAATCCTTCACAATATGACCTATGGTGTTAAGCAAGAACTTCTTCCTATGCTGGTGTAGAATTACAGGAAGTCGTAATACATTTGCCCTTAATTTTTACATTTTTGCCATAATTATCAAAGTCCTTCCCAGCCTGGTGCCATGCTGATAATTGTCCAAGACTTTCTTCATCACTAACTGGCAACACCAGTATTTGTTATAAAACACCCAGGTAAGGGCTTCGTACCCAGCGTTCTGCCACTAAAATCTGTGCAGAGGACAGTATTTATGCTGAGAGCAGCAAGGTCTCCTGAGAAACACGGCTGAAGAGCTGTTGCAACCAATCCAGGAAACATCAAGTCTGTAACTTTGTTCCTCAAATCAAACTTGGTTTATGGAGAGCTCTGATTCTACCTTTTACTTGATTCTACCCTTTACTTACTTCATTAGATCATAACAAAGTTGCCGAGGGCAAGTTCAGCCTTAGCTCTTTGCTGGATACCTAGACCTGTTTCAGAGATGGTAGAGAAAGGATAAAGGAAAATATTGGAGAGAGTAGACCAGTGTTTTTCAACCTTGGCCACTTTAACATATGGCTGGCTGGGGAATTCTGGGAGTTGAAGTCCACATACTGTATCTTAAAAATGGCCAAGGTTGAGAAATACTGGTGTAGACACAAATAGGAGATCATAAAAATGAAGATAAGGTTTTATTATTCAGAGTTTCAGAGCCCAGCTTGTTTAGCAAAGGCAGCTAAACAGAATGCTTCTAGTTCCATATATTCTGTTTGATTTCATTTGACGAGCAAACTATCACAAAGTAGAAGACTTTTCAATGATCTTGATAAAAGGAACTGGGCTCTGAGATGCAAACTCAGGACTTTGAATCCCCTCTCTTACCAGTTCTCACAGTAGTGTGAGCCAACCTAATTCTCACTTCCTGAACCAAAATGCAAACTGGAATGTAGTTATAAGTGTGCTTTTTCTGAATTTTGCTCTGCAATTCTCTAATCTCAAAAAGTATGTGCGAATGAAAGTAACATCCCAAAATGAATTACATTGGAGAAAATTACTTAGATACACTAAAAAAACCCCTCCAAGAATACATATTGGACAAGTTGGACAAACACACCAAGTAAAAGCTAAAATTCACCAATTTGCGTGTCTCTTGAAATGTAAGATACTTCACCAGGCAGTTGCCAGGAGTTAAGACTCACTTGAAAGCGTGTGTGTGTGTGTGTGTGTGTGTGTGTGTGTGTGTGTGTGTGTAT